TCACAAGTGACTAACTCACAGTGAGTCATTAATTAGGCTTTGCCTATGAATAAAATAGCCAATGACAAAGGGAATACAGGGTGGTACGATTTATGGTCTGACAAGCTTTTAAGCCATACTTATACCAGGGCTCTCCTTTACTCCAACTACATACACTACATAAAATTTTCTCTCTCCAAACTCTCAAATCTCCAAATCAGTTTTTATGTTTTCCTTTTTCATTTCCCATGATACCATGAAAGGATGACCTCTTGCCTTTTATCAACAATTTCTGGCTTGTCATTGGGGAGACTTTTCAGGTAGATGACTGAGAGAATCCATTGGTGATACTTTGAAAGTTACCTCAACATGTACCTCAGGTGCTTCATTACGTGGACTTACTTCTGGCAGTCTTTTCTGAAATTAGCTATTTCAACATTCTGCTTTGTAGGGTGCCTTCATTACTATGTGCTTTCATCCTTGTTGTTACTATAAGTTGAGCCGTTGTTGGTGAGATTGTTGTATAGGGGACAGATATTTTCTGGTCATAAAGTGTAGAACTGATAAAAGAAAGTCTAACCTTATTCTATTCAGCATAAATATATTCCCAATATTCACTCTTTCTTGATGTGAATAACCCACTCATCATATGGTGTAGGAATACTTCCTACCACAAGGGGAATTTTTACTTTGTCTCTTGCTGGACGTTTGTGACCACTTGCATCAATCCATCTTCCTTACTTTATCTATATAGAGAATATCCTAGTTTTAATTGTCAGATGAGGTTGAGCAATGGTAGCTGTAAAATCAGCATCAGTCAACATTTTTGCAAGGTTTTCCATTAGTGAATCCATTGACTCATGGGACTTCTTTAAATAGAATAGTTCTTATCTTAACTAAAGCTTATATCATCTATTTCCTTTTTACCAGTGGTTGATTCCCCACACCATTTTCCTCTTCATATAATCTCCCAGGAGCAGTTTCTATTTCCTTAAGGATTTTATCTACAGCACAGCACATCAAGTTTTATTGACGAAAGTGATGTACCGTGTTACTTGGCTGATATTTTTGATAAACTCAATAACTATAAACTTGTCACTGCAATGTTGGAGTAGCAATATTTTGGAACTGTCTGACAAAGTGTCTGCATTTCGCCAAAAAAAATGGAAATTGTAAAATGTTTCCTCTTCTCAGTGCATTACTGGAAGAAAATGAGTTAAATCATAATTTTATTTTTAACGTTTTTATTCATCTCGAAAAACTTCAGTGTCAATTTACAGATTAATTCCAAGAATCAGCGGTAGAAGACGATTGTACAACTTCTTATTTGCCAATGACAGTTTAAAAAAAGCTCAATGAGCTATCCAATGGTAAAACTCCTCAGGCAGAATTCCAGACAGAACCTTTTTGGGAACCTTGAATGCTATTTCGCAAACAGTACCAAGTGGTAAACGTGTTTTGGCCTTTCACATCAGCATACCTGAGCGAGTCAGCGTTTACTGCTTCGACAGTAAACAAAATAAAACAGTGATCTTGTCTGCAGGTAGAGGGGGAGGTACCAACATATCAGCCAAGAATGTGTACCAACTTAGCCCAAGCTCATCCTTCACATGAAATTAGTGAGTAAACTGAATTTGCTTGACTTATGTTATGTATCATTTTAAGACTTGTTTTATTTTCATAAGCATTAGGAATAACCATAACGTAAAAATAAACTTGTGCAATTTCACAGCTGATCAACCAAGTAACTGAATATGCGCAATGACAAACACTGATTCAAATACTTCACTAAAACTGAAACTTTACCAACATAAAATAAAACGGGCATATTCACTGTTAGCTTAACTAACTGACTGCCCCACACGTAGTTATAGCTGATGTTTCACCTCTAGATATTTCTCGAAATTACTAGATTTTCGTGATGTCTTGCGTTCTCTAGCAAAGATCTAAATTAAACATTGAAAAAATTGCAAAAATTAATGATGTTCATTCCAATTATTGAATAAGAACAGAATATGACTCAACACAACAATAATAATAGTACACACAGATAAAACAGAAACCAGACATGTTTAGAAAATTCAGACAATTAGGTCAGGACATGTCTGATATACATAACAAAAGGCAATAATAATAGATTTTATGTGGGCGATAATACACAAATTTGTAAAACCATAACAAAAATATTTGCAATCAAGTTATTATCTTTATAGTAACATATATTTTTTAAATTCTAGGCCCGGCATGGCCAGGTGGTTAGAGTGTTCGACTCACAATCTGAGGGTCGGGGGTTCAAATGAGCTTTTAAAATGTATAAAATGTCTACTAAACGTCTAAACTTAAAGAGTAAAGTATATTTACATCCGCCTTTTGTTTACATCCCTTAAATGACGTGCGCGTGTATCTTCAGGACAGAAAAAACTCGATATTATTATAATATATTAGAATAGTCTATTAAATGTTTTGATACTTTACCTTCACACGTTTTAACGATAACCACTAGGAAATGTGCACAATCCTGGGCCAATTAAGATGGCTTGCTCACAATCACATACACGTCTGCGAAGTTCCTCGCATTTCTAGTAGGTCTTTGGAAAGTAGATAGCCCACAGCATCCACCAGTTAGCATTTATGCTACTTTTTTTCTTTTCAGCGTAATAGGGTGTTACGTCTCCGTTTGTTAATTAACTTTCCGTAATTTCGTTCCGACGAAACTTTAGCGACACAAGTTCTTTACTTAATAAAACTGGTTTATTCTTTCCGAATACAACTTTACGATACACCTATTTTCGACAATCGCGCTAAAACAAACGCTATATCAACGAACGTCAATAATACTTCTGACTGCAGTTCAATTACTCACTATCCTCACACACACGTTACATTCCCCT